AGTTTTTGCATCAAATATGAAAGAGTAGGCTTTATACTGGAAAAGGAAAACTGGCCACAAACCCTCAGCTTGAACACAGCTTCTCATTTCACATGCTAAGACAGTGTAAAGTCATATAGACACAACAGCAAAAACAACCAGTTTAATGACAAGCATCAGATTGAAGGTGGAAATGGTAGCCTACTGAAAACATAAACGATGAGTGTTCAGCACAAATAAGTTACCGGTAAGTGGATGTGATAATAAGTAAAAAGCTTTGTTGAAGGAATTCCTAATCTTAACATAATTACAAAGTTGAGAGTAAAGACTTCTCATTAGTCAAGTAACAAGTGCTAAGCACATCTGTAGTCACTAAACAGTGATGTCTAGTTTCACTCTCTCAGGATTTCAGCCTCAAACAGCAACGAACAATGGAGATCTGGCACAGTGACTGGAGTATCTGTCAAAGTACAGGCTGAAAAAGGATTCAACCTTGATCGATCAATCAAGGTCACCTTTTAACTTGAGCAACTCAAGAAAAACCCTTCACAACTCAATCAAAAGAGCCACAACAAATACAACTCTTAAGAACACTGAAACTGACTAAACAAACAGATCTGTTTATGAAAACCATAATCAACCAAACACTGTGCAACACTTGGGCATTAGTCTACTCACCGGCAAGTCAACACTGACATCTGTGCCATCTAACAAAGAAACTCGGCAGGTGATGATGGACTTGGCATCTCCAGCAGCAGGGATGTGTGTTGTAGCTCGCTGGGCTTCCCGGAGTCGAGCTTTCTCTGCATGTTTGCGGATGGACCGCCGGCCCAGTGTCCGGCGCAGAAAGCTCAGCATATTCAGGAAGATTTGTTAGTCCAGCCTGGAAAAAAAGACCATCTCAGTTACACTCAGGCACATCTCTGTGTGGTTAAGAAGTAGATAGAAACTAAGACTATTAAAATTACAGCTGAATTTCCTAACAAAAATCAGTTGTGGTGTAAAAATTATACACTAACTGTTACTTTAAATAAGTAATTTGTAATAAGGCCACAGTAAAAATAATTTAAAAAAAACATCACAAGTAAAATGATCAACATCTTCTTACCATGGTAATGTCATTAAGAATATAATTTCTATTAATTAAACGATGGTATTTATAATAATGGTCTAAGTCAAGATATGTATAGACTAACTACAACTGCAGTTGTACTAACTGTCCTAAATATTATACTTAAATCTCCTGACTTGTCTTACAGAAAAATTGTGTTTCTTACTAAGACAGTGATCGGTTCTTTCCTGTTCCTACAAGTTATTCATTAAGTTACGTTGTCTTCAAATTACACACGCTTTTTACCAACACCGAAGCACTATTTAAGAAAACAACGGCGGAAAAAAACGACAAACGTGTACGCTGCTCTCATGCGTGCACGCGCAATATATAAACTATTTCATGTTTTGGTCAAAATTGTAGCGAGCAGCTCGCGATCACGCGCTGACTGACTGAACTCCGCTGACACCTGTTTGCGCAAGAAATACTGCACCTAACAGACATTTAACGGCGTAACTATCTAAAAATAGCTATTAAAAGCACAAACAACTAGGGAATATAATACGGCAATACACCGGCGATTACTATAATTTTGTTCTGATATATATCGCTTCCACCTCAGGGATAAACGCAGTCGAGAGGCTCGCGCGCTAGCGGCGCGAATCCACTTGTTGATCCTCAGTCAGACCAAAGACAAAAGCTATACTTACAGCAGATTGATGGATATTCCGCCAATGAAAGTCCTCTAGCATCGGCTTGTATCAACAAACAACTCTGTGCTTTGAAATATCCATCTTCTAAGCCACAGTGTGGCACAGCCACCTTTTTCCTTGCTTGTTTTTTAGATAAGTGTAACTGATATTCTCCCTGCTCCGAAAGATTCTGGGATGTGTGTGGTGGGGGTGGCTGTTTTCGCCTCAGGAAATGACGTCAGGTAAATCCCTAAAAGTGGATTTACATTTAAAGGGACGGTGTTCTGGAGAGTTCTCACAGGACTTTGTGTTACTGTTACGGATCTGTATATCGCTCTTGTAATGGACTGGTACATAGTAAAGTGATTAGATAGTAAAAGCCTGCTACTGAATGTTTACCAAAATAATATTTTTTTGAAAGAAGTCTCTTATGCTCACCAAGGCTCCATTTATTTAATTAAAATAGAGTAAATAAACAGCAATATTGCAAAATAAATATTTTCACAAACCTAGACCTATTTTCTAACTGAAAATATTAAAATGTATTTTTTTCCCCTGTAATGATAATTCTGAATTTTGAGGATCCATACACCAGTTCTCAGTGTCACCTCCAGAACTCATTTGATTTGGTGCACAGGAAGGAAACATTGTTACATTATTTATAACATAATACAAGGTGTAGCTACTGTACTTAAGTACACTTTTTGAGTGTCTGTATTTACTTGAGTGTTTTATTTATTTTATTTTTTGAGTGTCTTTCAAACTTCACTACATTTGAAAGACAATTATCATACTTTTTACACAACTACATTTTTTGTCAAGGTCCTTGAGTAGAAAGTAGTAACGTCGGTCAGGTGCATTTTGGTTGGAAAGTAAATTCGGACTGATGTCAGAACCCGACTTCTTTTTGATGTCTGAACCCGACAACGGTTTGACGCCAATCTGTCGGGTTCTGACGTCAACCCGATTTTTATTCTCGACATCAATACAACGTCTGTCCAACGTTGGAGATTAACGACTTAAAAACTTTAAATAGGGCACTATTTGCAGGAACCTGTGGAGATTATTGAGTGGCATTGTTATATTCAATCTCGCATTCAATCACATTACTGGAACTGTGTTCTAGAAATAAATTTGATATTGATATGGGGGTAGGCAGCCATAGATTCAGAGGCATAAGGTGGGCCTACTGTATTTACAGTACATACAACAATAATAAAACAATGCATTGACATTTACTTTTTACTTTTGAAACTTAAGTACTTTTAAAAACGAGTTCTTCTGCACTTTTACTTAAAGGTGCTCTAAGCGATGTTGGGTGATGTGACTTCTTGTTGACGTGACTTCTTGTTGAGGTTTGAAGTATTTTAGAAAAAAAAAATGGAGGCTAAATAGACCCTCCCTCCTCCTCATCTGCACTGACCCCCCAAATCCCACCCCCAGGGCCTACTTGTCTGGCTGGAGCAGTTTGTTATGTTTCGTGGAGATGGTTGCCGCAGATTGTTTTTGTTGCCATTTTGTTGTTGATGCTAGAGGTCAGAGGAGAATGGGTCGACTGATTCAAGCTAATAGAAGAGCAACTTTGACTGAAATAACCACTCGTTACAACAGAGGTATGCAGCAAAGCATTTGGGAAGCCACAACACGCACAATCTTGAGGTGGATGGGGTACAACAACAGCAGCAGAAGACCCCACCGGGTACCACTCATCTCCACTACAAATGAAAAAGAGGCTAAATTGCAAGAGCTCACCAAAATTGGACAGTTGAAGACTGGAAAAATGTTGCCTGGTCTGATGATTCTCGATTTCTGTTGAGACATTCAGACGGTAGAGTCAGAATTTGGCGTAAACAAAATGAGAACATGGATCCATCATGCCTTGTTACCACTGTGCAGGCTGGGGGTGGTGTAATGGTGCGGGGATGTTTTCTTGGCACACTTTAGGCCCCTTAGTGCCTAGTGGGTATTGTTTAAATTGAGCATTGTTTCTGACCATGTATATCCCTTTATGGCCACCATGTACCCATCCTCTGACGGCTATTTCCAGCAGGATAATGCACCATGTCACAAAGCTCAAATCATTTCAAATTGTTTTTTTGAATATGACAATGAGTTCACTGTACTAAAATGGCCCACACAGTCACCAGATCTCACCTAATAGAGCATCTTTGGGATGTGGTGGAACAGGAGCTTCGTTCGTCCAAATCTCCATCAACTGTAAGATGCTATCCTATCAATATGGGCCAACATTTCTAAAGAATGCTTTCCGCACCTTGTTGAATCATTGCCATGCAGAATTAAGGCAGTTCTGAAGCCGAAAGGGGTGTCAAACACAGAATTAGTATGGTGTTCCTAACAATCATTTAGGTGAGAGTATATTATCAATGTTGAAGGTTTTTGCTGCTCAACATTTTTATATTTATGTGTGGAAATTGTGATACTTTTTTCAGGAATCTTTGATGAATAGAAAGCAGTAAACAGCATTTATGGCCATTCATTAAATGTATTTATTAAACTTGTTAAAACATTTATTAAGCAGAATTTGTTCACAACAGTATGTCTTTACTGTCACCTTTGATCAATTTAATGATCAAATTCCTTGATGAATAAAAGTTAGATTTTTTTTTTTTTTTTTCGTATCTTGTCACAGGTCCACAAGTGTTTGAATGGTATCATTGTTTCCACAACATTGTTAAGTAGGAAAAAAAATATTTTAAACATTGATAATAAAAATACATGTTTCTTGAGTAGCAAATCAGCTGAATGATTGAGACACTGAAGACTGGAATATTGATGCAGAAAATTCTGCATTACCATCACAGGAACAAATTATATATTAGCATAGCTTTGGTTAGTATAAGAGACTTAAAAAAAAAAAAAAAAAAAAACTTTCCAAACTTTTGACATGTACTGTATTTATTTTAAAAATATATAGAATGGATTGTATAAATTGCAGATATTATTGAAAAACAAAAAAATATTATAACTTGAAAAATCCCTATTCTCAAGCTAAAACATGAGTAACCTGACAGGTGTGCTGTATTTTGTTTATCCAACAGCACCACTCACTGGTTGGTTACTGAGGGCTCGAAACTGCTATAACATTAGAAACTTTTCTCCATGCCAAAATCAAAGGAATTAAAATGTTCAAATATGCAATGTACAAAAAACAGAACATTTTAATGCCAAAAGGACTCAGATCACACACCTTATTTTATTTTAAAGACTTTCTTTTTAATATACAACATCGTATGTACACTATATTTTCATAAAAATGGACAAGTGGCACAACTTGACCTTGTTATTTGCAGCAAATAAACGTGAACACCAGTCTACATTGTACATCTTTGTTGAAAAAGTTCTGTCTTTCCACAAGACAGGAGGCGTTTAGTTTCTCCCCAAATGCATGTCGCATTCCTGTTTTAAATGTCTTTTGGTAAAACCTGTAACCTGTCGAGCATAGAAGGGAATTATTTGGTCTTAAAACCAAGGTTTTCCAGCAAGCATGACCACGGATAAATGACAACTGAGTGACTGTAAAAGTAGATAGTACCTTACAATGAGTAAAGGCATGGAAAACTCTGCGTTCAACTACAGGCAACCTGTGAAACATGGGCAATGAGTCACACAATTAAGTTAAGTATCAGACATCGTGTTCACTAAACTCTCAAACAGCAACATCTTAGTATGAAAAGCCAATGCTATTTTGTTAAAGTAAATGCCAATGTTGGATTTGATGGATTAAAAACTAGGGCTAAATTAAATAAACTAAAAAAAAAAAATCATTGCCTGTACTAGGCACCAGCTCTAATGTGTTGAAACAGGCTTAGAGAAAACCTGAACGTGACTTGGGCTATTACATTCACACTAACAGTATTATAAAATGCAAAAACATACAGTAATAACACATACTGGACACAGTCTCAGCTGGTTAATGTTGCAGGGATATTCTGCATGTGCAGTCTGCTACAAGAAATAAACAGGTCAGCCATAAACAAACTCCATTCTGATCCCCCAACACAGTACAGCATTTAACACACTGTGGTGTGTAATGTTCAGATTTAACAACAAAACAAAAAGCAACACATAAATATCACGTCAACTACATGGAATACTAATCCCTTTAATGGAAAATCTGATTTTGAATGATAAGGGAGTTCATTTTGAGGGAATAATGGAATGTTTGCTTCTGGAAAGATCAAATTTCTGACTGGCATTCTTCCTTCAACTAAACAGCAGTGCGAATTTAAAATATTTTATGAAAAGAATCAATCGCATTTTAAAAGAATCTTCCATATGTGAATTTCTGGCCCAAAATGTAATATTCAACAGCCTCACTGGTTCTTGTATTACATAACTAATTGTGTCAACTACTACCTGGGAGGAATCTTTTCGATAATTAAAGTTACATTTCAGTCTTTTCCTTACTCAAAGCTATTGTTTGGCTTCAGAAGATGTGGAATATAGTAAATATTATGTTTTATTTTTTCTTGTAGGCTTTCATTGTAAGAAAATGAGCAGTATGAACATTTCTCAAAACATTTGTTCTATTGACAAAGGAACATATGGGTTTTGAAAGACACACGGGTGAGTAAATATTTTCATTTTAAGGTGAATTTCCTTCAAAATCTGCATGAGAGGCTAAACTGATATTTTGCATCACAGCTGTAATGCAAAGTGCTTTAAAGTCCTTGTTGAGAGCATTTTAGTTTGACAATTTGTCATTTTAGTTTGACATTTGTAAGTAGTTAGTTATGTTGCATGAACAGGGCTAAACATTTTAACTAAAACAATAAATATTCCTAAAAAAAAAATACAAATAATCATCTGCAGCACAGGCCTGGATGCAAGTTGTTTTGTAGGTGTTGTTTGTCTCAAAATAATAGGTGACCATATTTAAAAACTCTCATTCATTCATGGGCCTGCCCGTACACACTTACATATGGCACCAACAATCTCTTTACTATTTCCATTATTAACATATATAATTGTCAAAACCCTGAACACTCAAAGTCCCAACAAGTACCTAATTCACCTTTGTTAGATTTAATTTGTTGTCCGTTCTTTCTCTCCTCGTTAAAGCTTGGCATATAGTCTCTTTGCCAGCATAAAGTGCAGCAGTGCTTTGTTTATGTCATGTGTTCCTGGCTCGAGATACTTCTCCATTGCTCTGTCGTGAAGCTGCGATATCATAACATGGAGAAGATCCAGTCAGTGAATTTCAGCATCATTTTCAGGAAAAGCTGGCATTGCATTAGTTAGATTCGTACAGCGTGGACTTGAGCGGTTTCACCAGGCCCTCCTCGTAAACCTTCAGTATGGCCTCGCACACAAACTTGAACTGGCTCTAAGACAGAGAACAGAGGGGAAATCAGTGAATGGATGATGAGTCAAGTCTATCAAGCAAGAGCAGTCAAGCGTGATGGCAGTAAGTCATGGACTGTGTCTGTGTGTGTGAGAGAGAGAGAAAGCAAGATGGAAGAATGCATATACAGTAGAACCACTATGGACATTTTTTTGTAGACGATAAGATGTGGACTATCAAAAACATATTTCTCAGGTCCCTCCTTCAAAATAAGTCTTTAAAGCATTGTCCATCAAGTGAAGGCAGAGAAGAAACAGCACATCTCTCCTAAACATAAATAATTTGTTCAAAACACCAACCTTGTGTACACATTACGTTTGGAGTCAGTCAGGTTTTTTAATGTCTCGTCTCTTGCACAGCAAGACTGCATTTATCAAACATACACGCAGTAAAAATAGTAATATTGCCCTTATGTTAATATTATTACAATTTAAAATAATAGTTTTCCATTTTAAAATGTAATTTATTCCTGTATTGGCAAAACTAAAATTTTCAGCTACCATTATTCCAGTCTACACTTCTGTAATGCAGATTTGCTGCTCAAAGTAACATTATTATGTTGCAATGTTGAAAATGGTTGTGCTGCTTAATATTTTTGTGGAAACTGTGATACATTTTTTTAGGATTCTTAGATAAATAGAAAGTTCAAAAGACCAACATTAATTTAAAACATATATTTTTGTAATAATAATAATAACAATAATTGATCATTTGATCACTTTAATGTATGCTTCCTGAATAAAATGAATAATTGTAAGATAAAAAAAATCTTTCTGACCCCAAACGTTCAAACGGCAGTGTATGAGCAATAGCAAAGAGTAATGCTTTAGCAACACCACTAATGAAAAAGAACAGCATATAGTACACAAGTGTTTTCACAGACAACAGGAAGAAGAAAGGGCTGATGTTCAAATTAGTTGTGGTCTCATGGTCAGCAGGCTCTGGGCAGACAGGCTTCATTCATGTATCATGCTGAAATCACAGTCTCGAGCTCTCAGAGTCCCAGCCTGGACAAGACCCCCTGCTACAGCAACTCTTCTTCACATTATGTGTGAAAACCTCACAGCCTGTAGCTGAATTTTAAATGTCAGTGAAAATGCTTTTTTTAGTTGTTTATTTAACATGTCATCATTGGCTGTGCAGCATTTAGCCATGTCCCAGCAAATGAAGACAGAAAGCCAATGATAAACCCTTAATGGATGACTGATGGGGGATATGACAGGACAAAAGAGGGTGGGCGCGACTTACCGGCGTCTGAATCATCATGGCCCTCTGATCCCGCATGGTTCTCACAATGTCTAACGGATACACCGGCTGACTGCACTCCATCAGACATATTGCCGTCTCCATGGTGATGAGAACTCCCGTCCGGCCAATCCCAGCACTGGGACAGAGCAGAGTGAGGGAGGGAAAGAGGAAAAACTTGATTACACTGCGATTCTCTTTGAATAACTACATTTAAAAACTCATTTGTGATATAGATATATGAAATACCTGCAGTGGACCACAACAGGCTCGTCCTTCCCAGCTCGTTTATTCCGGACCAGAGCCACGAAATCCAGGAAGTCCGTTGAGTCATCTGGTACACCATGATCAGGCCATGCCAGGTACTGGATTTGGGTCAATTCCCTGCTCTCCCCACTCTAACAGCACAAACAACAAAACAGCAAACAAAAAATGACATGGTTATAATGGCACCATAGCAAATGATACACTGTAAACAAGATCCTAGAGTCCAATATTAACATTTTCCAAGTGCCTAATGTAAATAAACATTAGCGTAAAGTGATAGTTCAACCCCCCCCCCCCCCCCCCCCCCCCCCCCCCCCAAAAAAAAAAAAAAAAAAAATTGTGTCAACATTTACTCACCCTCATGTTGTTACTTTATTTCTTCTGCGGAACATAAAAGAATACATTTTGAGAATTTTCTTTTTTTTTTTTTTTTCCCGTCCATACACTGGAAGTCAATAGGTACCAAAACTGTTTGGTTACCAACTTTCTTCAATATATATATATATTGAAGAAAGTTGGTAACCAAACAGTTTTTTTTTTTTTTTTTTTGTGTGTGTTCCACAGAAGACAGAATGCCACACAGGTTCAGAATGATATGAGGGTGAGTAAATTATGATTTTTTTATTTTTATTTTTGAATGAACCATCCCTTAAAGTAAATCCAACACCAATTTGTAACTTTATTAGGAACTGCAACATTACATGGTTCACGTCAAATTAAGAATGATACTGACTGTTGACAATTAAATCTGTGATACACTCACCTCAATGTGAGTAAGAGTCATATCTCGAACCAAGAAAGCTGAGTTTCCCTCCTCAGTCTGGCAGGAAACCTGAAAGCCACCGTATGTAGCGCTACCTGAGGGGTTCGGCCAGTACTGATGGCACTTCACCTGCGGTAGAAAGGGATTGAATTATGTTAGTTCAAAAAGTTAAGAATAGACACAAAAATGTATGTCAAACATTAAGAGGTATACATACGCGTCCTCGTTCAACCTGAGTAGTAAGCATGACTACCATAGAGGAGCCCTGCTCCCATGTCATCTGCCAGAAATCCGGGCACGTGTTGGGTAGCGGGCCCTGGCAAGCGATATAGCGGTTTATGAGACGGGAGGCAGGGATTTCCATCTGCGAATATGACAGAAACACATTAAGAGAGACTATTAATCACAGTCCATCTTTCACTGGGCATTTGAGTTTGCAACGATAATTATGAGCTACTCACATTGATGTAATTTGCATTGATGTAGTCATCTGTGCCCTTTAAGATGACTCTAGTAGCATCATCTGACAAGAAAACAACAAAAACTGATTCATTTTTTATATCACAACTGGTTATCAGTACAAAGGAACTGTGTGTAGCAATACTCACAAGGTGAGATGTCTCTGTAGCGGTTTTTGGAAATATTCTGAGGTAATTTGGCACATGACATTGTCATTCCAGGCCTTTTCCGATACATTTGCTTTAAAACAAAACAAAAACAGTCAGTCTACAAAAATCTTACTGAATGAAAAATCATTAAATGGACACAAAACTTTTAATATGACCTTCAGTCTTCATGCCGTCTTTTCAATTTTCAAGTATTCAACCAGAAATTTCATACATTCAATTTTCCAGTGCTTTGTGCATTAATCCATGCACGGCCACATAAAAGCACAATAAACAAAATGAATGCATCCTATCTTTTTTTATTACACATTTTATCAACATATTTCCATACAAAACCCCCACACACACTAACAGGAAGATATCAGAGCTGCCTAATGAAAGACAGGAAGTAATAGGAAGTTCTTTTGATATGACCACATCCTGAATAACCTGATTGCTGTTGATTACAGAGCATTCTGTAAATGAGCAATTTAGATAAAAAATAACATATGAGCTTAAACTGCCTTTTTCCTGTGGAGAACAGAAGACAGCTTTTTTGTCGCATTTGATCGTAAAGATCAAATTACTTGAAACTTGTATTTTGTGCTACTAAAATGGAAGAAAAAACATGAACTAAGTGACTCAAAAGTATGAGAGACAATAATCAGTTTGTTACTCACATCAAACTGGGATAGTATAGTAGCATTGTTAAGACCCTCCTTTAACTGCAGCATCGAGTCCCTCCAGGCGTCCTGGTCCAGCAGTGATGTGTCTGTGGGAGATTTCTCTGGGATGTACTGAAAATCCGGCTCCGTCTCCAATTTCTCCTCAACTACATCATAGATGGCTACATACAGAGAAACAGTTATTGTGATGGCAGCTAAGACCACAAGGTATAAAGGACAATAAATCCTTCCCCCCAACAAAAGCCATAGAAAGTGAATTAATCACACCAAAGGCTGTCTTAAGTTTGGAAATCATAATCATACTGTGTGCTTTTAAAGTGAGTTTGGTCAAAATAAAATGGATGTGTATAACTAAATCCATGATTCTTTAATCATTGCGCCCCCATTCAAAAAGGTCTCGATAAAAAAAAAAAATATATATATATATCTAGTTATCGGTAGTATTTACATAATTGTAGTGTAGTGTTCATGTGCACCATTCAAAAGTTTAGGGTCAGTAAGACTTTTTAAAAACAAATGAATACTTTTATTCAGCAAGGATGAATTGATCAAAAGTGAGTACATTGTTTGTAGAGTCCATCTATTTTAAAATGAAAACTTTCTGTTAATCAAATGATACTATAAAAAATGATATCAGAGTTTTCACAAAAGAAATAATAAGCACCAAAATGTTTGAGAAATAATACTACATTTTCTTTTCTGCACCAAATCAGCATATTAGAATGATTTCTGAAGGATCACGATCAAAACCAACTGAATGGCAGCTGAAAAAAAATCAGCTTTGTCATCATATGCATTAGTTACATTTTATAAAATTGGCCATTTTAAATTGAAATAATATTTTACAATACTGCATTTTTAATCAAATAAAAGCAGCCTTGGTGAGTATAAGAGACTTTTTGTACTGACTCCTAACTTTTGAATGGTAGTGAAGTCAAAGGCAGCAAAAGATTTGTTTATTAATCAGTTGAGCGCTCACCATTGGGCCGCACCAACAGGAGGAGCTCCCCGGAATGGCTCTCACAGCTGGCCTTGATGAACATGACCACCTGATCGTGCGTGTGCTCCGCAATATCTCGACCGTTGATCAGCACAACCTGATCGCCCTCGTTCAGTCGTGGCACACACAAATCAGCCTGTAGAGGAGAGACACAGACTGAAAATTATGAAATTCAAACTACTTGCCCCTAGATGACATATGAAGAGTTCAGATGCAAAAGCCTCTAAATGCCATTTGAAATTTTCTTCTTTAATGATGATTTTTATCAAACTTGTATATTTAAGTTCATTAATTTCACTTAAATAACAATTAATAGGTAATTATCATTGCCATTTAAGTGAAATTACTGAACTTAAATATACAAGTTTGATAAAAATCATCATTAAAGAAGAAAATTTCAAATGGCATTTAGAGGCTTTTGCATCTGAACTCTTCATATTGAGATCTTAATTCTTCATTTGGACTCTTCTAATATTACATATGCAATTTTGAATGTAAAGCAGCATAAATCCTTTAACACAAGCTTAAACCAAACATTGACACAAAGTTCACTACTAATCCTATAGAGGTCACTCTTCAATTAATCTTTCCTTATTCCAGCTGCCCTATAAAGGGTAATACTACACTATTTACAACAATAAACAGTCTATTAAACATACTGATGTTCCAGGTGCTACTCGAGACACAATAATAGGCATCTTCTGATCAGAGCCACCCTGAAAAAAGAGGGAATGAGAGAGAGAGAGATGATTTCTAAGAGGCAATGATATCATTAAATCATCAACAATCGGTTACAATAAATGACAAATGCTGTGCATTTTACCTTCACATTAAACCCAAATCTCCCATTCTCATCCGGTTTCATTTTGATCAGGACAAGATTGTCATGAGGAATGACACCATTGGGCTGAACATTTGAGAGAAAAAAAAAATACAATAAAGTCAATATTTGAGAGACATTTTTATGTTCAAGTTTTACATTTAAAACAGCACATTGCATTTGTTTTATCTAATTTGCATTGATTTTCTATTAGGTACAGAATTCTGGTTTGTAAAGCATCATGACTTAGCACCTTCGTAGATTTTGTCTGTTTCTGAACATCATTGTATGAGCTATTTTATTGGCACACTAACATTAAGAATGTTCACCTAATCGTAGACCGCTTATAAGCCATTACGCCCCCCAAATCTGGAAAATCTTACCAAGTTCCAAGCGATCACAATCGTTTTTGACGACATCTTAGTTAGTTAGCTTTTGAATAAAACATTGAAACCCTTTTAACCACTGCACTTATTGTTAACGCTTTTTTCGCCTCTATTAATTTATATCAATCTTTTGATTTTATCCTTATTTTGTATTTGTTTTTTAAAATATTATAAACTGAAAAAATGAAGCACATTGGAATGTATGAAAAATACTACATACATAAAATACTTTATTACTATTAGTTTTCACAAATGCAGTATCTTATAAGACAAAAAAAAAAATCTTAGCAGATAAAAATAAAAACATGTGAAATATTAACTCGCATGAGGCAGTGAAAATGATTTATGTGTCAGGAACTGCATGCACCAAACCACCTAGTGTTTTATAACTTTTTGAGAGAGCAACCACATCAGCGGTGTACCATAGAAGGGAGGGACGCCGGACTATTAATGCCAACTTTGGAAAAAGGAACAACAAAGCAGCACAAAGAGTCTGGGTCGAGTGAGTCAGTGGATGTATTCTTACCATGGTCTTGTCTGTTGCTATGGGGACATCGTACATTTCGTTGACGTGGTTGTCCAAGTCCTGTTGTGAGTGGGACAGTATAAGCTGGCTCAGGTTCTTCCGGGACTGTTTGGGTGGGAGGGCAGGAGGAGGTCCTTCAACACCTTCCGGAGACCTATTAAATTCAGGGGAAATAAAATATATATATATAATAAATATAAATATATTTATGCTTGGATTTCATTGAAAAGAACATCAAAACATTATTTAAAACATCTCCCTTCAATTTGTTATACATTATACAAATATCTAATAATAACAAAAAACATAAAAAATTATACATGTTTGGATCAACATGAGAGTGAGTAAATTATGTCAATTTTCATGCTGTGGTGAAATATCCCCTTAATAAAAGAGTTCTAAAAGCTTCGTAAAAAGTTTAGCAGTAGCAAAAAGCTAGCAGAGACATCAAACAGGTTTAGCATGTTTCATATAGCATATTTCTGCTGCTGGGTTCTGAGTATCTACAGCAGGAGGTTATGCCATCATTTGGAACTGTGACAGACTAACAAGTATCAGTGTGTGTGTGCGTGTGTGTGTGTGTGTGTGCGTGTGTGTGTGTGTGTGTGTGTGTGCATTGTGGAGCATGAGCTATGTATGTATCTGTGCGTTATGCATATATATATATATATATATATATATACACACACACACACATATACACACACACACACATATATATATATATATATATATATATAATATTCAGTTAATTTAAATTATACATAAATAAACTAAAAAAAACAATAAACATTTCTAACAAGACCCTAAGATACCGTATGCCAAATTATCACTTCCCGATTACAGTTAATTGCCCCTTTTACAGATACGATATCTTTAAGGGTAAACTGACAGTAAATTACCGCTTAGAGTTCAAGGGACAGGAGTTTTTCCAAAATACAATAAATACGTTTTTTGCCAATTTTCCAGTTTGAGTTGTAACAAGTTGTAATATTACTAGTAAATTAATGGTATGATGCAAAAAAAAAAAAAAAAATGGGATTACTCATGGTTAGGCCATGATGCGCTGACATAAGAAGCCAGCTTTGGGTCATTCATAAAGCTCTGTTGTAAATGTTTACATTAAGATCATTGAAGTGATTCTATTTAGGACAGCATTTAATTTCTGATGATTGCCATTACAGAGTTTGCCAGTATTTTGGTACTGAAGTGTAAATGATATCTTTCCGGTAATAAGACAGCACATTTGTCTATTTACAGGAAAAGTCAATCTGGTAATTTTACCAGGTTCAACGCCTAAAAACGGATTACACTTTTTTAGGCATTGAACACTTAAATTTTCTGGGATTAATCAAATTTTGTGTGTGAGGATAATTTGTTGATGTAAAATACACATTTAGAACCAGATGTTGGACTTATGAGATTGTATTGTGGGCGGGGCTATCCAAAGCAATTTATACATTTGACTTGAGCAGATGCTTTTATCCAAATCAACTTACAAAAGCAAAACATAAGCAATTCATCACAGAGACGACAATATTCATAGCATAATATTGGTAAGTCAGCAATACCACATAATTAGAAACCAATTCCAATTGCACATTACATTCTGCAGCTGTGGCTGATTAGGACATGGTGCTGTGCTATTTTATATGTGTTGTTAAGCTGCATATTTAACACATAAACGAGGGAAAAAAATAATAGAATGGATGAACTTTTGTATAAATTAATAAATGCTCACCAATCAAAATCTAACTCAAACCAAAATACCTTCTAACTTATTCTATCCTCCTAGCATCACATTCTGATAAATGATCTTTAAAAATGGCATATAAATACAGCTCAATCTTTCAATAAAAATCATGTTATATTTTGTGACACTGCAGGAACTATCAATTTACAGCAATCAATAATGCAAAAGAACAATAATGTTTTTTTTTTTTTTGCCTCAGGGGATCATCAGACATGTAATGTGGTGATGCCCCCAACCATAAACAGGTCATTTTTAAAACGGTTTAAAGACTGAAACAAAGGAAAGGGGGTGGGGTGTTATATTTCAATTAAACTAGCTCGGCAAACAAAGTCAAAACCACCACATGTCATGCAAATAACCACTGGCAATGTCATTAGGCTTAAGTATACTGCAGACCTATTCAAGAGGATCACAAAAGGCTTGACATGTTTACCATGCACCGTTAAAATCCAAAGCTCTGTGCCCTGCACTATGAGAGTGGTAAACACGTTTTACAGCTGCGCAGCATGCGTTTAGTTTCCATTCGGGGCCATTTAAGGGCGCAGACAGAGGGTGGTAGCCGTGATTGGAAGGCAGAGACAAAACAATCAGCCAATATAAGATGTTTTTGGTGCAGAAAAACCACTTTGAGGAACAGACTTGCACTTCTGTTTGTTTTTTTTTTACACTAAATTATGTGGCTTCTGTAAATAGGGTTTATAAAAACTGAAATGATTTAATGTTTCAATAAGCAAACATGGATAAGCAAACATTCAAGACTTGAAATGCATAACAAAGCACATTAATTTTAATAAAAACAAGTATAACAAAAGTCTGCAAAAAGAGTTGGTTTTCGGCCGGAGTATTCTATTTTAAGACTCTTTAAAGGGATTTAAGATACTGAAAGATTCAAATAAACTGTCACTGAAATTACTTTGAATAAAAATATCAGCATTTCATTTGTCAGACAACGACATCTGGAGAGTCTTATCCTTTAAAAGGCATAATCCACGCTTTGCTTTGTTATTTCTGGGGTATTGTGGGCGGTCACTAGATTGTTACTAGTCGTACTAGGGTGGTTGCTTAAGTATGAACACAAGGGGAACCTTAAGAAGCACCATAAATAATAATAAAGCGTTACTAAAACCAGTTCTTGTGGATGGACTGTTTTCCTAATAAAGAAGAGGAAGTACTTACGGCGTAGACTCCAGGCTGATGCTGTTCGCTTGTGTAGAGGAAGCTGATTTGTGATTGGAGAAAAGTGGAAGGCTGGGGGAGGCATGGATGACATGGTCCACCAGGTGACCCATGGAAGAGGGTCGTAGCCGGGCACCCTCTTGCACATATAAGGAGTTTCTACTGTTGACAGAACATTTATAGTTGCTGTAATCATTTTCAGCTGTTTGTTTTATGAGTAAATGCAATTCCTCTGGCTGAAGGTAAACAAGGAGTTCTTACCTATTAAAACAAATATATTTTTCACAGTTGCATTTATAGTTAGTGTAAAGTGTTCAGTGCATTATAACATAATGATGAAATGTTAACTCGAACCCTATATATTTTATTTGACTGCATTCATACAGTCTCTGTTTCTTCTTGAAAACACAGTCACTGTTAGTTTTCTGACAATGCTGTAATCCATCTCTGAATCTTTGAAAAGGAGTGACAGTTTTTATTAGAGCTCCTTGAACAGCTGTCCGACTCCCTGACTTTGGGTAAAACTTACAAAACGTGTAATGAACATTACTAGGTCGTATTTCGCCGCCAAATCAAAGAAAAAATCATTACAGTTATAATATATTTTGCTTTAGGAATATAAACCTTTTCAGGACCATGTTTTTGCATGGAAAAAAAAGTACATAGTAGTTATTTTTTTAAACAACATGTTTGCATTTGATGAAAAAATATATATATTATGATGCATTATGTTTAATATGATTTTTTTAAAGGAATTAGGCTAATGAAAAAAATAATGTCAAAAAATATTTTTGAGTCATTTTCTTTTTGCAAACTATAATTTCTTTCTTTTTTCTTTTGGAGTGAAATGCAACTAATTGCAATTGTGAGAATCTTCCAGACTTGTCGTCCCACCCCCATCACTCCCCTCACCCCCTCACCCCAAAGCACCCTGCAGTGTCTTCGCTCATTAGGTTGTAAGTTTCACTGAAACGGAGAGGCACTCACTGGTTGGGTGTCCCAGGGGGGGAGCGGGTGGGCAGGCTTTGGGTCTCCAGCATCTCTTCAGACAGTGAGTTCCTGCTCACTGCTTCCCACTCTGTCACACCCATCAACTTTCTGTCCAGGGGCTTGCTGGGAGATCTGAGAGATGAAATGCATTCTGTTAATCTCTGCCATTGACCAAAAAGTCAATGATAAGCTTGCGTTAACTGTCTGAGGTAAGACAGTTAGATATTCCAGATTACTATTATCTATTTTGACAGAGATCAGGTTCTTTTTAAACTGAATTCTGAGTACCGTGTTACCTTTATATTCTCCTAGGATATTGCACTACAATGTTCAATTTATATGTTAAATGTTTAACTGCAGATGTTCAGAATATTTAGTCACAGTAACCCCTAATGAGAGATCTCTTTTTAGCACAAAAAACCCCACCTAAAATTCAAGAGAGCTGTCATATTTTGTTCTGTTATACCAGTATTCACTCTGAAAGTCAGACAGAACAATCTACTGCCAATGTCATCATTATTTTGAGATAAAAAAGAACAAATACAAGTTTGACTATGTTCGTCATTTGAAAATTTTGTATGTGTTAACATTTTAAACTACGGAAGCCCTGAACCGCAAAAAAAAAAGACTAAAGTAGAAATGTTTCGAGACTAAAGTCTAAGCGTTTCGAGATTAAAGTCGAAGCGTTTCGAGATTAAAGTCGAAGCGTTTCGAGATTAAAGTTGAAACATTTCAAGATTAAAGTTGAAATGTTTCGAGAATAAAGTCAATACAGTGTGTCTTCCATAGAAGTGTGTGCATTCATAACAGTGCGCGTCCAAGCTCAGAGCGTGCGCGCATGTGTGTGTGTGTGTGTGTGTGTGTAAAGAAATGCACTTGTGAAGTCGAACTGCCATGGATCAAAACAAAATAGCTTTTATACTTTTATCTGGGCTTTCAACAAAATTCTACACAGGTGCTAGTGGCAGCGTTTTTGAGGTGTTTTCGTGCTCGTCTAGTCAACACTATCTGGGTCGAGAACACAACAGTAACTGTTCGGTCTCCCTCTTCACCGTAAATACGTTCTAGATACATTTTAAGTGAACCATTCTGTATCCAATCATTTGGCGGGATTTCCTCATATTTAATAACCACGAATGGTGGTTGAGGAGAGATTCTCTGATATGATTGTAAAGTGCTTTGAGTGTAGGCCTATAGACATATGAAAGCACAATATAAATTCCCCATTCATTCATTCATTCATTCATTCATTCATTCATTCATTCATTCATTCATTCATTCATTCATTCATTCATTCATTCAGCTGGATATCTCCATCCAGCCTGAAAAGTGTTTTCCGGGTTTGTTTTCCTATAGGCTAAAGTCTATTGCGGCGCATTACTTTATAACGTCCTATAATGGTATAAACAAACGCACACACACACACACACACACAGTGTGAAACACTCGCTATACACCATTATGAATGCCCGTATGCGCACAGCAATGTGAGACAATGGCAAGCACACGCAGCTTCAACGAAAGACTGTAGCCTATTCTCGTACTCTCTAAATTTTTCAACTTTAATCTCGAAATGTTTCGACTTTAATCTCAAAATATTTCGACTTTAATCTCGAAATGCAATATATTTTTTTTATACAGATTTTTTTTTCACGTTGCCGTTCAGGGTTTCGTATCAAACAACTCAAGAGCAAAAAGCATTACATTTTTTCGGAAAAGTCGGAAAAGATTTATATTGTTTCAACTCAAAACTGTGAGTAAAGATCCCTCTAAAGTTCACCTGCTGAACCAAGATACTCCTCCTCACCAGCTGGTAGTATATTTTATAAGTTCACACTTCCACAGAAATAAATACTCTTTTAGACCAAATATGTTAATGATCATTAACTGAAGAATCATAACTGGTCACCAACACAAAACCCCTGAAGTACAAGCTCACATTACCTTGTAAACACTCTGTCCTTGATTCCCTTCTCCTTGCCATACTGAACAGATTGTGCTTCCGTCCTCCCACTGTGAAGAGATGTACAATGTTGGTCAGGATTCAATCCATATTTCACAACTGCCTGACACCTCCAATTCTGTGAATGGCATCATTTTATATAAGGCTCTTGCTGCTCAAAGCTACAGAGTTCAACTATGTTTTATTATACTACAGAGAGCACCAATAAACTCTTATAAATCTAGAAAGCATTGTAAGATGAATTATTGATCACCTCCTCATTCTAGTTTCCCTATATCTAAAAGTGGCTAAAAGAGCATCATCTATTTTTCAAGAGTTTATTGCCATGATTTACTAGAGTATTTGTTCAGGTCGACGGAGGTCAAGCCTTCTGGTGACTGTGGCCTCCCTCAGCACACAACTGCAGATGACCAGACAAAACTAAATCTATGAAATTCTGCTATGAAAAAATTAAATGTGCATGCCACACAAAATAAGGGTTGAGGTTTGTAAGAATAACTTTTACATTGTTTTAATAAAAAATATATTTGGGTTCTTTCAAGCTACTATTGCAAATGTAATTTGTAAATAAACTTAATATGTCTAATAAAATATATTTTAATTAATTTATTTATTGTTTTATCTTACATTTAAATATTATATGGAAAGTATACTATTTTATGCTAAGTATAAAAATATGATTAAGAAATAAAGAAATAAAGAAATGCTGTGGATATATAGGAACACTGGAGGAACGTCTTACCAGTAACGGAACTTGGAGCCCAAACTGAAGTAGTGCGCAAAGAAGTTCTTCTCTGGAGGAACGGGCCGATCTAGCCGGAAAAAGGTGTGGTGTTCAACACAGGCCTTCCAGAGATTCTTACAGGCTCGGTAATTGACCATGTTGAAACCGAGTAATGTATCTCTTGTCTCGTGCTGTAGGCAAAAAAAAAAAAAAAAAAAGAGGAAGGATCTTGAGGCTGTTAAACCAAGCATACTGCATGCTTAACTCAAAAAACAGGAGATGTTGGTGACGTTGACATTCCTGCTCTGAACGTTACACTCATTATGTCGTCTTGTTTTGCTCTTAACTTGGGCCTCCGTTTGAATACTAGCCAAAGTATCCAGAAACCTCTGCTCTGGAAAGACCTATATATATATATATGCTGATTTAACGCAGGTGCCATTTTGAAATAAAAAGCGAGGCTCTGGTGGGAAAAGCTCCAGAAGTACAGACAGACAACAATGCCTTGGACTACCAACCTGAAGCTGCTATCACAGTTTACACTATTGATGTTAATATCCAATATAGGATATGTATATAGTTTGTTCATATTTGTAAATATATATATATATATATATATATATATATATATATATATATATACGTATATATATATATATACGTATATAAATAAATTAGTTTCACTGTATATAGTCTAAAGTATGAAAGAAATGTACATTTTTAGAATAACTAATTTCTACATTAAACACAACAATAAGCCATCGCATCCGCGACTCTGCTATGATTAAAGGCGATACTTCCGGTTTTCTTCCCACCGGAGCCATTTCAAAATGCCGGCTGAATGAAATCAGTGTATTAGCCCTCCATTTATCACTGGGGACTCCAAAGGGGGGTAAACACACTTCCCAGACTGTTTTTGGTTGTACAAATGGCAGGGGCTGAGATCCAGGTCCAGGGAAATTGGACCCACTCAGCCAAGCTCTGCCATCTGGGCATCAATTATGGATCATGACATCATTGAGTTCTGCTTTTAGTACAACTGCTTCTGAAAGGTCTCTGTGCATTATTCACACCACCGGGGTGTTTTGAGGTCTCCAGCAGAGGGTCTGTGACACAGTTGAAACCCGTTCAGGCACACAAGTTCTATTTGAGTCTCAGCAAACGGCACAGTTCTGATGTCAGGTCGCATCCCGCTCCCCCACATGCAAAATGCATCATATCTACTCTCCATAATTAATAAGCTGTAAAGAGTGTCTATCTCTCTGCACCGTCACTGACAGCAGGGCAGTAATTACAGAGGGATTTCAAATAAACAAAGATCAGTGGTGCTTTGGGAGCCATTATGCTATTTAATTTGATATTGACAAAGTAAAATGATTTATGAATAGGAATTACTGCTCTCTGCAGTTTCTAAATGGGAGTGATGATGTCTTTTGGAGTTATCTTCTGATTTTACATAGTTATCAGCAAACAGTGAGAGGAAACGGCACAGATTTAATTGAACGTTCACTTCACACATATGCAAATGTATTGCCACACATGACACACAAATAAATAATATTTGTATTATTATAAATCTATACTGTTATTATTATAATGTAATGGAATTTATATGTTTAATACATTAATATGTATTCAGTAATTTAATTATTTATGCAGTCAATATAATGCCCAACATTTTCAGTCAAATCCTAATTGCGATATTGTGACGCATTGTGAATGCCAGCGACCTTTGTTTTGAGATATGTATTATATTGTAAGGTAGCTGTAATAGCCTAAAATAATGTTTCCTGTTTTACTCAGAAATTATTACATTACAGAAGTTAAAGGGTTAGTTCACCCAAAAATGAAAATTAAGTCATTAATTACTCACCCCCATTCTGTACCAACCCCGTAAGACCTTCGTTCATCTTCGGAACACAAATAAAGATATTTTTGATTGAATCTGAGGGCTGGATCACTCTTCCATAGGCTTCCTAAGGGACTGGCTCTTGACGGCCCATAAAGTCATTAAAGAAAAGGTTTAAATATTCCATGTGCCTACAGCGGCTCAATTATAAGTTTATCAAGCGACGAGAACACTTTTTGTGCGGAAAAAACATAAATAACGACTTTATTCGACTATTCTATTACTTCCTTATGGGCGCATGCGCGAGAACTAAGACAAGGACGTTCTCCTTCGACTACTTTTTGTTACCGGCTGCTCTCCGCTTAGGAGTTTTACCGCCACCTACCGTATAAGATGATGTGCTGATATAGCTGGAAGCGCAAAACTTTCTGTTTACAAGCAGAGGAAGATGCGCGCTGTACATACGCTTTTCAATTAGCGTATTTTCCGCACTATAAGGTGCACTTAAAAGCCTTTAATCTTCTCAAAAAACGACAGTGTTCTTTATAATCTGGAGCGCCTTATATATGGATCATCATTTTATACGGTAGGTGGCGGTAAAACTCCTAAGCGGTGAGCAGCCGGTAACAAGAAGTAGACGAAGGAGAACGTCCTCGTCTCAGTTCTCGCGCATGCGCCCATAAGGAAGTAATGGAATAGTGGAATAAAGTCGTTATTTATGTTTTTTTTTCGCACAAAAAGTAGTCTCGTCGCTTGATAAACTTATAATTGAGCCGCTGTAGGCACATGGAATATTTAAACCTTTTCTTTAATGACTTTATGGGCCGTCAAGAGCCAGTCCCTTAGGCAGTCTATCTAGGACTGATCCAGCTCTCAGATTCAATCAAAAATATCTTTATTTGTGTTCCGAAGATGAACGAAGGTCTTACGGGGTTGGAACAGCATGGGGGTGAGTAATTAATGACTTAATTTTCAATTTTGGGTGAACTAACCCTTTAAATCTGTTTTAAGCTGTTCCAAGTCGTCTTGATTAATTGATCTAGTTTTTTTTTTTTTTTTAAAGTGCATCACTTACCGCCTCTTTTCTTAACTGGATGAAAAACTGTTTGCATTTAAAAGATATTTTAACAATCTTCAACCTAAAATAGAGAAGAAAAAAAACAAAACAAGAATTTGTTTGTAACACAAACACACATCGCTTTTTAGCAAGGCAGCAACAAACACATTGTGTGCTGTTAAAATTTCCTGACCCATTTCATGGCCCTTTGTGTCTCTCTAATCAATACTTAAAATATGACAGAGTGAAGCTACATACTTATATTCAACAAAACACACACTCTCAAATGTCTGAATAAACACACGCTGGAGGAGTGTCAACCTCTTATGACACATTCTGTCACACACAAATAGTACAGCATAATGTTGGCTTAAGCTGGTCAAACTGAACATCCACATATCTGTGTGCATCCATAGTCAGCGTTGTATATATTTACTCTTTCTAACATCTCTGTTGAACTTTATGAACTACAGGGGTGAGCGATAAAATAATCAATAAGCACAACCGTTTGCCCTGAGAGATTAGTTGACATCTGTGGTAAACAGCCCCTGTTTCTCAACTGGGCTAAACATAGTTTGCCTGGAAAGCATCTGTGCGTGTATTTCAAACGGGAGGTGCTTGGACAACAGCTACAGAAGCAGCTGGGCCTTGTGTGCCAGAAAAACACTCTGCTGGTGTGGGGGGAGCTTTTGCTGATGAGGATTTGGGGGCCGCTATTTACATTTACATTTGATCATTTCGCAGAGGCTTTTATCCATTCCGCATCGGCTATTCCCTTCTCACAATTTGAAATGAGTCCAACCAAAACATGGAGAATCTAAAAATGTCTGAACATTTAGTCTTAATAACAAAATATAAATATGCACATATAAGTTGACAAAATCGATAAATCAATATAAGTTATATAGTTTTAGAACAATTAAGAGTGAATAATATATAAAGTTCTTATCAGCTTATATTGTCCTACATTGTGCAGCATTTAAACATTCAGCGTTGACAGACAAACTGAGGCCTAGCTAAAATAAAACATTAACACAAAAATCTTCATTCAAGGATGCCTTGAGGTTGACAGCAATGCTTAACATTCAAACGGGCTCAGTTTGCAACCTCACCCACAGTCAGTACACTTCATGATTTGAACCCGGATTACACCAAGTAGGCAAGTTCACTTACCATGGAAAGTAGTTGATCCGTACCCTGTTCTTGAAGATGGCAATGCCAGCTGATATCAAGCCTATGAAAATCTCTGTGTTGCTTTGATCCTGAAAGCAGGAACACAGCAAGAGAGAGAACTTATTAATGAGGATCATTAAACGTTTTTGAAACTGTGGTGTGTAATGTTGTTATGTTGTGTAGTGTTAGTCCACCCAAAAGTGAAAATTCTTTTCTGATTTCTTACTTTCACGGTACAGAAAACCTATGCAAAATACTCTTTCCCATACAATGAAAGTACAAAGCCTTGTGTAGCTATAGAATAGCTTTGTGTGCAGAACAGACCAGAAATGAGCTTGTTTCAATGATTCTCTTTATATACAAAGAAGCTTTGTGTGTAGATAGATAATGGAACAGCAATGGCACACTTACCCTTGCATAGTGCAGTTCCACTCCATAGAGCTCCAACGTTCGTGCCGTGTTCAGATAATTGAATTCAGACTGTGCTGGGTTAAGTCCACTGTGCCCAGGCCAAAAACGGGGAGAATAAAGGGTAAAAATGAAGACATAGGCTTCAGATTCACATTACAAGACAGTGTAGTCAAGGTATGTGTGCACAAAACGCTTGTGTAAATTGCTTATTTGCCATCTTTAAGAATCCACCGATTTGTCAGTATGGCAAAGACGGAGTACAATGAGCTTCCTGTTCTCAGCACAGCTCTACAGTGTACGTACTAAGTAATGGGCACTGAGAAAGCACATGAGAGTGTTCATGAATATTCATAAAGCCATATGAGAAATCAACCAGACTTCTCCATTGTGGCAAATTTCTGACAGAAATGTAATGTGCTGAAAGGAATATTTGATTATAATAGTGACAGTGGAAGGGTTGGCCAGAGTTCAGTAAGTTTAGTGCGGTGACTCTTACTTGTGTTGCTGGTGATGTTTGGTGACATCTTTTTCAAAGCCCTGAGGCTGGTTGGGGATGAAGCAGAACTCAGACAGGTATCCTGGCAAATTCACTGCCTCACTGTAATCACCCAGCTCAGCTGAATCACACAATACAACAACAGTGTTATGAATGACAGCCATGACTCATAACAGTGCAACATGCAGACAAAGTCAACTGATAATGTGAATAAAAGGGGCAAGATCACTGATGGATACTCACTGGTGCCCACATCTCTTGATCACTCGCTTTGTGTGTGACTTGCGCACATTATTATGTGTCACTATTATTATGTGACATAACATCTAAGCAAAATGCCCTAAAACTTATGTCTACAACAAGAAAAGATATACTTAGTAAGGATTAATTTAACTGATCAAAAGTGACAGTAAAAACTTTTAAACTGATTATAGAGATGATTATCTGAATGATGCAATTAATTTTAGAGTCTGGAATATATATATATATATATATATATATATACATAATTCTCGGCCCAAAAGTATGTGTCCAAATTTCAATCTTAACTGTTCTATTTCATCAGAAACGATCTTAAAACAGGGCTTTAAGTGTAAAACACCGAACTTGTCCTTTAACTTTATTTGTAAAATGTATTGAAAATAATGATTCAGATGAGTAGAATCATATATTTTAAAGATGTAAGATAGAATGCAAAAAAACAAACGTAATGTCAGCATTTTCTGGAGCAGTCATATCAGTGTGCGGACATTACGTTTTTTTTTTGCTTTAGTTAATCTCCTTTGTCCTGCACCTGAGCCTTGTTTGGGTTTGAGGATTGTGCACGCCTTTTTCGTATTTTTGACTTTGTAAGATAGAATGTTCTAAGAATGTTATATATATATTTTACATATGTAAAAATACTATTTTTACAGGTTTGGAGTGTTTTGCAGGTTACTCGAGTGTTTTAGAGTGAATAAATCAAAACATTCTGATGAGATGTTGACATGTTCTTATTGACAAAAGCCAAATGTTGTCGGATCAAACATGTTGAGACAATCTATGACTGCACAGTGACTGAACGAGGCCAATTCACCTTCACTTAAAGCCTCACTTTAGAATAAAATGACAAAACACACTAATATAATGCTTAAATCTATTCAAGGGTTCAGCATGATTAAACACCTGTTGTTACAAATGTAAAACACACAAGCACTCAGTAAGTCTTTCAAATCTGCTAAACCAGTTACATTGACTGAAGAAAAAAAAAAAAAAAACATAAACTGCAGCATTTAGCTTCAATTTTACCATTATGGCAGCTTGTCAGTAAACCTTTAAAGCAAACAAAATAAGTTGCAATAGATAGCGCTGTCCTAGGCAACTGGGCTCAACAGAATCCCCTATGACCTATATAGCGCCCAAACTGCATGCTAAAAGCCCCGGAGAGACCGGAGCAAATGTGCTCACTACAGCAATCTGTCAAGAGTCATTATTGCTGAACTCAATCTGGCAAGCGGCCCCCCTAGGGCCCGGGATATGCCATGTCACTGCTCCATCTCGAGTGGGCACTATTAGGTTAATTCAGATGTGCTGGGCTGTGTTTGTGCCTGCTGTACTTCAGAGAGATTTCTTGCTCACATATACTCCAGTTTTACAAGCTAGTGCTTGTTAAGCGTTGAGGTTGTGCACAAATGGAATGTACCATGCTGAGCTTGCGCTGTTGTATTTCGGTGGTTTGCTGAGAACCTCAGCACTGGATTTTAGTTCGCATGATACCATCTATGGTGAGATATATTGCCTGACGTGGAAAAAGAAATGTGGTGCATATCATAGGCAGAAAACAACTTTAATTATAATTCTGCTGCTATGCTAAATTGCTATCAATTCCTCTCACTCAAGAAAGAGAATTACAGGCGCCACTTGTTTGACAGCAAGCATAACATTAAACAGGATTTAAAGTTGTAACATTAAAGATAGTGAGGCCAAACTAGAATTAAAGCAAACCACATGTAATTGACCGTCACATACCGCTCTGCTTTAAATAAAAAAGAAAAAAAAAAACTGATTTAGTTTTGTGGCTTCTTTGTCATTTAGATCCTACAACAGTTAATTCCAATGAAGGAGAAGAACTCATACTTACACTGAACAGCGTACGATGCCAGGAGTGCGGCAGTATTGTGCGGACAGGGCAGTCTGGGAAGGATATATATTATATTAAATTAACGGTATAACGTTGGAGATCAAACCAAATTGGTCCCCAAAATACTATATTCAAGTAACCATAAAAGAACATTAAGCACATGCAACTTCCGAAGCACAAACTGCAGTGGTATCACAAAAATAATATTGAATGAACAATCTACATAGTAAGAGTTACAATCATTTACAAGTAAATTGAATGCTACTACTGAACACACCTACTATGCAATTGGACTTCGAAAGATTTAGTTAAAGGGATAGTTCCCCCCAAAATGAAAATTCTGTCAGTAATTATTCACCCTCATGTTGTTCTAACCCCATTAAAGTTTTTAAAGACATTGTTAAAATAGTCCAAGTGACTACAGTGGCCCAATCTTTGGTTTATGAAGCGACGAGAATACTTTTTGTGCGATTTTGTACGACTTTATTCAACTATTCATTACCTTCTCTGTGGGCCTCGAGTTAGTTCACGTAGTGTAACCGCTCAGCGCTTCTGTGTTGTACGGCACACGTAGGCTCACTATTGGCCAACACTGGTCATGTGTGTGATGTACAACCTAGAATTGCTGCGCTTTTACACTACGTGAACTCACTCGAGACCCACAGAGAAGGAAATGAATAGTTGAATAAAGTCGACATTTTTGTTTGTTTTTTGCACACAAAAAGTATTTTCGTCGCTTGATAAACTTAAGATTGGGCAACTGTAGTCACTTGGACTATTTTAAAGATGTCTTTGATAACTTTTCTGGGCCGGCAAGTTTTAATCCCTTAGAAGCCTATGGAGGAGTGATCCAGCTCTCAGACTCAGATTTAATCAAAAATATCTTAATTTGTGTTCTGAAGATGAACGAAAGTATTGCAGGGTTGCAACACCATGAGGATGAGTAATTATTGACAGAATTTTCATTTTGGGGTGAACTATCCACTTAAAACAGTCGCACAACATCCAGCTCACCTCCCAGTGAGTATGTCCTGCTTAATCTGTAGAAAATACAGGTACCTACACAGATGGAAAAGAACATGACAAATCATTTATATGAGCCACTGGACAAAAAAAAGAAAAAAGATAGTATTGTTAATGGTCTTAAATATAAAAAATATATTTTTTTTAAAATTGATGACTAAATTTGGAGATATCACCGTAGTACCTTAGCTTATGCCATGAGCCAGAATTCAAAAATGTCTTTGTGCAATGTCAACAGAGCAATGTCTCTGTGATAAACTCTTTTTAAGGTCTTCATTTTATGTGCATCAATGCTGAAATCCACAAACTCACCATGTGTATTCTTCCTGAAGTTTGTTGGGGTCACTCACAAAAAATTTCACCCGGAAGTTTAGATGATGTGGGGAGCCCCCTAGCATTTTATTCATAAGAAGAGGAGATGTGCAAGATGTGGAGATACAAAAGTGAGAAATATTAAATCAATATTGAGTTAACAACAGCCTTTAGTATAGCATTGTATTACATTACTTACTTTTTAATTGCTTCCTTATGGTTTTATTTGGATCCAGCCACCTCTATAAATTATTGATAGGGAGAAAGAAAGAAAGAGAGAGATAGAGAGAGAGAGGAGAAGAAAAACCTTAATAACATGGCAACAGTCCAACACAACCTAATGCCACTCAATAATTCAATAGGCTTGTGTTTTCTCCTGTGGGGAGGTGGGGATGTACTTATCTGCAGTTACACAAACAGACAAAGTAAGTGTGTTTGTTGAGTAAAAAAACTTTGATCCAGTTTCAACTGAATCAATGTAACTATAAAGTATTTTCAGCCATAAATGGTAAATGGACTGCATTTATATAGCGCCTTCATAGACCTAATGGCCACCAAAGCGCTTTACATTTGCCTCACATTCACCCATTCACACACACATTCATACTCCATCCAACTCGTCGGGAGCAGCTGGGGTTAGGTGTCTTGCTCAAGGACACCTCGACACTTGGTCAGGTGGAACCGAGGATTGAACCACCAACCTTTCGGTCCGTAGACAACCCACATGAACCACTGTCGTCCATAGATCGACCAATCGGTACATACCTACTGGTAGACTGATGCAGGTGCAACATGAATGCTGATAGTATACAACACCAAGATGTCTACTAATCTGTTTGTTTGCATCTGAATGATGCAATTAATTTTAGAGAGTCTGGAATATATATATATATATATATATATATATATATATACAAGAAACAAATGCCACTTTTGATATGAAGAATCCAGTCATATCAGAAGTCTAATATTCTGCTAATACTCAATATTGAGTTGGGCCACCCGAAAGGGAGAGATGCTTAATCGTATATTTAAACCTGAACCATTGTGAGACCTACACTCCTAAATGTGAAACTATATCAGGAATACTGGCCATTTACACAGTCAAGCTTAAAAAGCTCCAAGCAAAACCCCTGTGAATCCCAGACCAGCTGGACTCTGGCACATCATTGAGCTTGACCTTTGAACTCACCGGGCTATCAGAGGATTCGTCGGCCAGGTGCAACCCAAAATAGTCTCTCTCGGTCAGCTGCAGGTGCTTGAAGACAGCGTCCAGTAGGACTTCTCCTTGATCGTGCTTCTATATAGTATGCGCACACACAGAGATAGAGAGAAAAATGCAAGTTTTAAGAATACATTTTGAATGAATAATAATTTGTTATTATTTCATATAAAAATTTTTAATTTGAACCATTTAATTGTATTAAATACATCTTCAGAATTATACTGTCTTCAATATTATTATACAATAACATTTCTATGTGGATTTCTTCACCTTTTCATTTGGTATAAATATTTGAAAACAGGACCTAGAGGAACCTAGAGCTTAAAATTATAAGTGTGGATGCGGACTAAAAGCAAAATGGGATCAGAGCCTCATTAAACAATGCATTTGTCACAAAAATCATGTGCATATTGTTGGCTGACATGGCTAGAAAAAAGAAGAATACCCATATTTCCAATAAAGTCCAAGCCACTCGGGTGGTTAGAAACAGTCTGACGTAATAAGTCATTTTTATTGGCTGTCAGATCCGTTACAGCATCCTGATAGCAAAGCTGAGGCATTAGCAGCACTTTTATTTCCTGTTTTATCAATTTAAATGGTCCTGGAAATGCCAAGACAGCATATTCTGAACACGTGCCTTCTGAGAAACACAGACAGACAGTTCAAACCACATCCACGCTGTGTTTCTCAAGCAAAATATGGTAAGTCACATCAGCAGAACGAACAACAGGTCAGCTGAGAGAATATGGGCAATCTAACACCTCTGCAGAGCTGTAAAACTTGCAAGAAAAAACAGAAATAAGAAGCGCAGATAATTGACATATTGACGTCACATGGAAAAAATTTAAATGAAACAAAATTATACATATAAAAAGATTATCAAGATACAGATCATACATACTGCACGCGCTCCAAAAAACACCAGACAAATTATTTGTTGTTATTGTTATTTGGTTACATGCCTTTAGTCACACCATATTTTAAGTGACTCAAGCGCATATGTCTTTTATATTAGCATGAGAGCCGACATAAATAACAAATAGTCAAGTCATATCACCTATATTTAAATACTGCTTTGTACAATACAGATTGTTTCAAAGCAGCTTCACAGCAGGTGAAGTAACAAATAGGTCTTACAGCCTCTGTGTACTTTAAAAAATAAACCATGGGAAAATTTTTGATATACCCAAAACAGGAAGTGTTTATGGTCTTTGATTCTTCTAAACGTTTATTTTTATTTTTTAGGATGTAGAAATGAACAGAGTTCCCGGATTTTTGGAACCTTGTGTTTCCTTCCCCTGCCCTCAACACTTTTGTGTAGATTTACAAACTAAATAAAAGTGTCAGAGAGCAGACTTGCTGTGGTCTCAGACCTTGTGGCTGTTCGGGTGTGTGTTTTCAACAGAAGTCTAAAGTAACGGTCAGAACTGGAAATCGGATCCAAGTGCGGCGTTTTCAATGAATATGTGGATTGTGTTTTTTATTTTTATTTTGTAAATGCATAAAAAAATGTAGGGCAAGGACTTGGTTCTCTCCATCAGTTGTTGAATGGATGGAGGCACAGCTGAATGTGAGCTAGCAGTCAATTGTAAGAAAATGTTGGGGTTCAAACGGACTGAATGACTGGAAAAGTCTTTCTATTTAGAAAATACTGTAAATTTATATTAAATGCTGACTTTAAAGGAGAAAAGGAGAGGAGTGCGGTATGACAGAAATGCGAGCAGACTTGCGCCAGCTTGTCCAGATATCGGAGGTCTTCAGGAAGCCTGTGAGTGTTTTGAACACAGTAAGTCCAAAAGAACAGGCAGCAAATAGCTTTGAGGGCTTTGTTTTGATACTAAGGGAAGATTGGCACTGCACAAGAGGCCCACAAAGTATTTGAACACACTTAAGCCACAATTATAGCCAGCATGAAATTGATTTCTCAATGCAAGTTCCTGGGGTTATTAGGAAAGATTCATTAGACCATGTTGTTTTGAAGCAAAAACGATAATTGTCATAATTGTCACAATTGTCAAAAACGGTGTATAGAGCTAAACAACAAGGATGGCACACTAATCCAAACCAGAGCCAGAATGAGAGAGTTTCGGTCCAGCTGATGGAACCATCATTGGCCCTATTGGGTTGCTACATTTTACATTCTGCGTTCAAAAAGCTGGCTCTCAGACTGGCTCTGATTCCAAATTTAAATTTAATAATATTAAAAAAAAAAATATATATATATATATATATATATATATATATATTTTTTTTTTTTTACAAGAATGGTTAAAAAATCTAAACTACTGGTCCGACTGGGCAACTGGAGTATATGCTTATTGTTAATCCCCGATGTTGCTTCTCTTTTAAATTGTATCGCTAATCCAGGGGTATCTGTTGCCATCATTGAAAATAAATGAAATCCACATAATTTGAGGTATCCATGTCTTGTGGCAAAGGATAATGCTAAGGTGGTTCAGTGGCTTTCACAAACACCACTGATAAGGAAATCAAGATCAAAATGACAAAATCTATTAGAACCTAGACATTCATATTAAGAGAGCAGCAATCAATTCTAATATTTACAAAGTTTCGGCTTCTTCTCTGCATTCCAGACGTAACATGAACCTCTACAAACACACAAATGAGACATATTTATGATGGCCTCCATAACATCAACAACATCAACTGCTGTAACAAAAATAACAGGCTTCCTGCAAATAACACCTCGCCCCCTCCTGATTATTTGCCTCTAGTCCTCCTTCCCTCTTTCCATTAGACCCCGTGCTTCCGTTCCATGTGCGCCTTATACTCATCAAGGACCCACTGTGCTGTCAGACTATCTAGATCATAAAGAGGTCTGGCACAAAAAAAGTACAGACAAGAGAGCGAGTGAGTAAATTTGATCAATGGGGCTTTTACATGAGGACTGGCTTTCCAGGAAATGTAGCTCACAAATCAAAGAGCAGCATGACAGACAACTTCTAAGTAAGAACGCCTTGATTCATCGAACAGATCAGCAGCTGTTTAAAGTGAGTCATGTGACGTTTATAGGTTTATTGTTTATTGCTTCCTCCAATTCAAATATGGAAATACTTCCTGATTGACAGGAAATCCTTGGACAGTGCAACTGATGGGAGACCACTGGGGAAAACCTGAATAACTTTTTGTAATCTGAGCAACCTTTAAGGCCCTTATTTTAAGTCAGGGCATAATAAGGACCCTTTTATATATAACACTTTGCACAACACTGTGGACAAGAATGAACAAACACAATGGTTTTGCAATAACACCAACAAATGAAAGAGCTGAGGATTTGTGCCTTTGCTTGTCGCGTGTGTGGGGCGTGTCGTGGTAGCTTTATATTGCAGGTGCAAGTATCTACATGAATCTCTGGAACCCTGAAGGCCACTTTTTATTCTGCTGGAATGTCAAGCATGCATCCTTCTGTAAGCAGAATTACACACTATCTTCTAGCTAGAACATGAGTATGATGTAGAATAGATGATGGCAGACCATTATGTCTGAAAAACTCACACAGACGACAAATGATTTGGGGTTCATATAGGGAAAAAAGGGAACACTTTATAAAAAGATATGCAGACCTTAAACACTGCATAATGTTCTACAGAACAGGCATTCACATACAATAATTAATTCATATATGATTAATGAAGCTTGGTGGCAATTCTAGCTATTTATTACACTACCATTGGGATTAGTACGATTTTTTATCTCTTGTCTCTTATGCTCACCTTATTTGATTTAAACGTTCAGTAAACAATGTAGGCTAATACTGTGAAATATTATTAAAATAACTTTTTAATTCAATATATTTTTAAATTATGTAATCCTGTGAGGCACAGCTAAATTTTAATTATTATTACAGTCTTCAGTGCCACATGAGCCTTCAGAAATCATCCTAATATGCTGATTGGGTGCTCATGAAATATTTCTTATTATTATCAATGTTGAAAACAGAATATTAACTAATAACAAATAAAAATTAAATAATAACTAAATATTTGTTGTAGAAATTGTATAATACTTTTTTCAAGATTATTTGATGAAAGTTCGAAATGGCAGCACTTATTTGATGCATCCTTGCTGAATAAAATCACTACTTTTTTATTTTATATTTTACTTAGCCCAACCATTTGAACGTTATAGTGTATATTAACAATATTACTAATATGGATGCTCATAATTCACTTGTTAAACCATTAACTGACAGTAAAAACTTTGACCAATTAATGGGTTAAATGGTTTAAAAAGTAATTTAAGTAATTTTTCAAGATATTTTAAAACATGTACTGCGTGGTTAAAAAACAAAGCTACACATATAAAATTGAGTTTTGAGAGAAAAAGCAGTTACCTTGCATATTTTTCACATATTTTATTATTATTTTCAGATATAACGCAACATACTGACAAATAAGGTGAAATGTTTACAAATAAACGCTATACACAAAGCTAGCTATATAGGCTATTGTAGTTTCCCTCACTCCACAACAAATCCTTTCCATTTAATGCTATTTAGTAGCCTGGCTAACTTCAGACCCAAGTCTCAATGACTTGAGTCTGGGAAGCACATGTTCATTTTCTCGTATTTGAGGCGTGGTGCCCATTAAGAATGCCCAGAGCCGTTTATTGGGTGCTAAGAATGTCTATTAAATGTGCCTTTACGTAGCTCATAGCCAATCATTTCAATTATACCAGATGACGTATGTAGAGCGACAGAAATTAGATGAGGAAGAAGATGTTGGAAGATTATACACGATGGCGTGTATTTATTAGCCGTTTCACACCGCATGCGTGAGCGCCGCCAAAACCGAACAACCGAAAATCAAAAGTTAATGAGTTTTGGTTGTCAGTTAGGGGAAAAAAAACTAAATAAAATATCAAATATTGTCTTGAGTACTTGTCTTGCTTTAGTAGACATATTTGTAGTTAACAATTGTTTTGTGCCAAAAGGAGAGGGCACATTTTTTAAGAAACTGCTATTTTGTTGTCACGCCAACAATCAGTAATTTATTGGTTCAAAAAACACGGAGAACGAGTAAACATTCATTTACATATACTGCCAACATTGTAACAATACAAAATGGCTTGAAAAACGACAGAATTAGACTTGACCACATCATTAGTTTATGATCTGATCATAAATAAATTAAATTATACACATTACTTACGTTGACTTTAAAAGGCTGGACAGAGTTATCCAAAAGAAGAACGTAGCAGACCACCTCGGTGCGCTGCCTGTCACGTGCCAGCTCCGTCGCCCGGACATTGTAGGATCTGCCTGCAGGCAACCGGAAGCGTGTGGTCATTACGGTCCAACCAGAGTCTGCAACACAAAGACATCTGCTTAAAGTTGCCCAATTCCAGTATAACATAACATTTGCATCAGGTTGGGTTAGTAATTCATTTAAAAACAGGTATAATTATTACTAAAAATATATAATTACAGCATAGACCATTTTTTTTTACTCGTTAAACTGTATTTTCAAAGGCTGATTCAGACTCAAACTTAAATGCACACATGACAAACTGATATTTTTATGTACAGCCTACATTGTGCTAAATATATCTATTTCCTTAGGGGTTCTTACACAGCTTTCCTGCTAAAAGTAACAGCAAATGGGGACATAGAGGATGGACTAAAAGAAGTGGTATTCACATACACAGAAATGCTGATACAATCACAACAAAATAATTCTCAATGTTTAAGTGGAAGAGAGTTCTATTGATTTATATATATATGAAGAGTTCAGATGCAAAAGCCTCTAAATGCCATTTGAAATTTTCTTCTAAAATGACCATTTTTATCAATCTTGTATATTTAAGTTCAGTAATTTCACTTAAATGGCAATGAAGATGACCTATTAATTGCCATTTAAGTGAAATTACTGAACTTAAATATACAAGTTTGATAAAATTGATCATTTTAGAAGAAAATTTCAAATGGCATTTAGAGGCTTTTGCATCTGAACTCTTCATATATATATATAAAACACAAAAACAAATGTTATGTGTTGACTTCTGTACTCCATAATCCCAAATGATCCCAATATTATTTAAACCCAAGAAATTAGATATTTTAACCTGTGTAACAACCCTTGACGGTGTTGCCTGTCAATGACTTCATATCCCCATTACCCTCGATTTCTTAGATTTTACTTCAACCATGGGAACACCAAATATGCTTTACAGGTGACCGTTCAGCAACTGTTTGGATACATGTATTGTCAGAAAACAAATCATTGTTATATAGCTCAACACGGTTAGAAATTTGAATCTCTCAAGTAACATGTTTGCAGGGAAAAAAAAAAAAAAAACTATTTTGTCAAGTGGCTAACAAAGCATAATCAGAAAGAGCTTTATTTGTAGTTTTATCCACCATACAATAACCCGGTTTCACAGACAGGGCATAGATAAAGCCAGGATTAGGACTTAGTTCAATTAGGAGGACATTTAAGTAGTTTTGTACATGGCTTTATGAGAAACATTACTGGCCTGCATCTTGTGAGAAAACAATGGTACTGACACCATTTATAATATAGGCTTATATAGGGTTGTTCCCCGAGAACTAACGGTTCTCTTAGGAACATTTTCCTGGTAGCATTTGCACCGCCAATATGAACTCTGAAGGGACGTAAGCCATGCTTATTGTTGTGATATTAATTTTGATGGCCAGGCAGACCTTCAATTTGAAAGCACTGAGAACGCCAGCCAGAGCCTGATCACACAATACTCGCATTCTCTGTTCAATAGTTTGTGATCAGTCTAACAGTTAGGTCAAATAAGTTATTAGATGGGCTAATCAGCATACTCTAACGTCACTCACTGGTGGTTCCTATAGTGCTGGTTTAGACCCTGCTCTGAAATAGAAGCTAAATGAGTTCCTCCAAAATGAGTTCCTAGAACTAAAATCGCTCCTAGTTCCTGCAGTGTGAACATGCCAAAATCCGGGTCCTTCTGCCAATAGTTCTAGGATCCACACGGAGTCTATTTTTTGCTGTGCTTGCATAAATACGTTTAATTAAATAAAATGTAGTAATCTCACCATAAATGTGCATTTAATCAAGGAAATCAAGCAAAACTATAATTTACTTCAAGGCGACCGAATGAACAACACTCGTCTCAATCGTGCAGGTGGAAAAACAAGTTCTTTGTGACATGCAAGATCTTGTTTTAAAATTGAAATGCGAAAGAAGAGGCAATTCGGCTGCTTTTGTCAATTTTAAGTTTTAATTTTAATTATTTGCGATTTTAATATAGTAAATATTTGACCACTTGCTTGAGCAACTTATAAGTATAATGGAATAATAGCCTTAATTACGTTGTTTAAACGTGCATACAAAGAATCGCAATGCTGACACAACTTGACACGACGCACACACACACACACAAAAGCTGCATCATAACTTGTGGGTTTTAAATAAAAATAGTAAGTATGTGTTTGTGGTACAGCCGCGGATCAGTTATTCAATGCAAACACATCGTGATGTGTGAAAGCACAAAAGCACGCGTTGCTACCACAACACTCACTGCAAACGGGGTATGTGTGAAACGAGCATTAGACCCACCTACAGTTCTTAGAAACTTAGATGTGTTTAAGAACTCTTTTTTTCGTACAACAGCAGCACTCATCTTGTTTGTTTATTAGCGGATGCGGATGAACAGTCGTGGACCGGAAACTGAAATGCCGACTTCTGACAATGGCGGAAGTTCATCGCTACGATTGTGCACGTAGACTATTGTAAAATAAACAAACCGAAAGAAACAGCAGCGGCTGACTGCGGCATATAAACATAATAAAACAGCAACATAAAATCTCCCATCCAGGCTCTCGGCCCTGCCCTGCTTCATACCGCAATATGTTAACAAAAATTACATTAGCTCACCCATGAATATGATTCCTGCCTGAGTCCCTTTGGATAGCTTCCCATCAGCTGTGGAGGTGAAAAAGACAACTCCCATGCTCATTATTGGCGTCATCAAGCTACGCCTTTGTTATGGTTTTGGAATAAATGACCATAGCGGCAAAACTTACATACTGTGCCTTTAACCTTGCCTAAAATCTATTTTTTCCCCTCACATTTCTCAGATTGCCTTATCTTGGGAAATCTGTTGTGCTCTTTCAGGTGAATAGCAGTAAAGCAGTTTGTGTGTAAGATCAGCCATGTGGAAGCGCTTTCACTTCAGCATTCTGACATGTCCACGGGTCAAAACCAGCAGGCCATCCACAGATCCAGAGAGATTTCTGAACCCCTCTCATGTTCATTCATAGATCTACAGTCATGCAAAGGTCACAGAGAAATATCTCTGACCTTTAAGGTACCTCACCTCGCAGGGATCTCTGGGCAGTCAAGCGCAATTTTTTTTTTTTTTTTTTTTTTTTTTTGTGGAAAAAAGGGAAACACTATAAAGCATTTAGTTTATATATAAGCATCTAAAATAAAATAGAATACATACAATAACTCAATAAAAAATTCCTAGTTTTGAAAAATTCCTGCTCCCTCGGTATTTAAAACAAATCTAGAGACAAAAAACCTATTGTTCACAGGTTTATTAATGGCTTAATTATAGAGCATGGCATTTGAATGAAGCAGCTTGCATGTGCACTGCTGGAAGTAAAAAAAAACAAAAAAAAAACAGGAGAGTAAAAGGGCAAACTACTGAAGAGCAATGTTCTCATTGTGTCGTAATACCGAACAAGCGGCTGGGGACTTATAAAAGTGTAAACAAAAATTCAACTTAATGGTTTACTATACAGTCTTCCAAAAACATCAACTGTAATGCATTCAAAGCGCACAAACCCAAAGCCCAAAAGGTCAGTAAGCATGACAGCTTCTACACAGCCCAAGTGTCCTCAATGTAGCTCGATCCTCCTATGCAAGCTAACTTTGTATGTTCCTTTGGGGGACATCACCTAACCACATGAGCGTGCTTGAATAGGCTTCCATTACATTCAGCTTAACTCAGCTCAACAGAACAAGCATTTAACTCGCAAATTACAGAATATGAATGAGAAAAATCATTTGGCTGCACCGGTGCAAGTTTCTGACATGGAAACGAACTAATGAGGGTCTCATCAAAATATAATAATTTACCAAAACATAAAATCTATATGCAAATTATTCATACTACGATTGGCTGTTTGTCCTTTTTTCCATGTTTTCATTCCCACAGCCCATTTCATTTCTGATGTGAAATTATGTTTTGAGGTCCCCGCATTCAGTCGTACAACCTCGATGCAAAATAATATAATGAGTCCAAAACTGCTGAGGGGTAATTAAATGCAACAAATCACATCTTTTATTGGTAAATGAAACCACATTTGATCAAACTTTGATAATAGCCTTAAAAATCACCTGTAATGTCAGTCTCAAACTGAGCTTGACGACGTGAGACACCTGCTGTCTTCTAGTAGCTGTGCCAAGAGAAATCTGAATCATTCCCTTCCGAATCGTGCAGAGCCGGAGATGCCTCCACTTTATGCCTCCACATCCCCCCGATTGTGCACGAGCTTCTACTTCTGTTTATACGGTAATTTATTCACTGTGCGACAGAGAGTCGTGTGTTATGACGCAATCGTTAGCCAATTTTTTACAAAAACTGCTTCTACGGGGCCATAACGTAAGATACAAGGTAATGGAGCTTTTTATACATTGTCATGTTTCTTTAGAAATAAACAATGGACAAATGGAGTCTTTAAAGGCACACTATGCAAGATTCGTGGTTCAACTTGTCGAGACTGTTTTCCAAAGATGGCTACGGCCTGTATATACGAAGTGAACTGTCTTATAAAATATCTTCTTATTAAGTGGTCTGTACTCTTACAAAGTTCTCAATGCTTCGTTTTGCATGTAGGGACCCTCATTATGTTATTGTGTTAGTGTGGGGCTATTTTGAGCCTTGTTATTAACTAGCGATTTCTTTTTACTTATTATATGCCCCCATATACTAGCGTATACGCTAAACAGTTTTTATAGATAAAACTCAGGGATGCACCGCAATGAAAATTTAAACCAAAAACTGTAGGCTAATAACTTGTTTTCATAGCAGATTTATTCAAGCATACATTAAATAATGAAGACCTCACTAACAGGTTAAGTAAAAAATGAATTAATTTGTAATACAGTGCATCAAAACACTTAATTTTTCTAGCTAACTAATATGTTTATGGACATTGAAGTAAATGTTATATTAAATGATAGCCTACAAGCTGTTTTAATGGCGTCTTTCCCCGGTTGAAACACAGAAAATGCAAATGATCAAAATCAGGTAAAATTACTCACTTTCACATTTATTAAAGCTTACACCAAATTGTTTTTGTGTGCG